GGTGGGTCCTTCCTGCTTTACTCTACTGGGACATACCCAGAGGCTAAGTCCTAACCCTGCCTCTTACTGGCTATACAGCCTTGGGCAAGCTGCCTAATCTCTCTGAGCCTCATGTATAATTGGGACTGATGATGGCACTGACCTCACAGGATGGTGGTTTGAATATATGTGATAATGCACAAGAAGCTCTTGTTGGTGCGTGGTGTGAATTACTGTGACCATGAACACATGTATCAAATTTACAACATGGTTACAGCAGGAGTCTCAGAGGGCAGATGTGTGTCTCCCATTAGAGAAAAAGAAATCTCAAAAAGCAGAGGGTAGATCAGTAGGCCCCTGGGCCCAGGGGCCTCCAGGAAGTAGGGGTGGTGTGAACACTCCCACCCTTGCTGTGAGTGTTTGCTGGGTGCGTCAGAGCACCCCCACCCTGGTAGATGAGGACCTGTGTGAGCTCGCAGGTGGGAGAGTAATGGTCTGTGTCCTCCAGAGGCCCTGCCAAGGCAGCCCCATGAGGCGGTGGGCCACAGCAAGCTTGGCTGATGGGGTGGGTGGCAGTGTGACTCTGTAGCACATGGAGCCTCCCAGATATGATGACATCAGGTTGAGAAACTGGGGCTTTTCATTTTCAACCGAAGACAAACGGGCTGAGGAAACCAATGTGGCAATTTCTAGAGAAGCTGCCAGGACTCTGCATTGAGGTCAGAGCAGTTTAGCCGGCCTGGACAGCACATGCCCATTAAAGCTTAGGTCTCCTTCCTTCCTTCTGGTTAGCCCCTAAGCCCTGGAGGGGTGAAGCCACCCTGCAGCAAAGACAACACAGCTCATTTTACCCCAGGCCTGAGTGTCCCCAGATGCTTGCCACAACCAATGAAGATAGGTCGGCTCATACCTACAGCCTAGCTCATATGTTTGTGCACCACAGCCTGTGTAGGGGAAACAGGAATGGAGAGGCTGTCCCTCACCCAAGATCCCCCAAATCTTTCTGAAGACCCTTCACCAAGGTTTTGTAAAGAAGTGTTCTTCCTTGGCTTGAATGTCCAACTTCCCCAGGCTGGTCTATCTTGGGTGGACAAAGGAAAACAGTAGGTGTCTGGTCAGGACAGGACCTGGGGAAGAGGCCTGTGGTAGGCTTCACTGTGGAGCGGAAGAAGATTGAGGAGAGGAAGGAGGCACCTTACCTTGGCCACATGCCCCCAAGCGCAGCTCTCACCAGCAAGAGCCCCGGGGCTGAGACAGCCATTACTACTCAGCATTCTGGTTCACATGTCAGTATGTGGCCCTCTCCATGGACTGAGAGACTCTAGGGTTACCCCCTCATTACTGGTCTTGACTGAACACCCTATTGGCGGGAGAGGGAAGAGGGCAGAATTCAGCCTCTCCCACCCAGTTCCTTGCTGGACAGGCAGTAAGAATGGAGGGTATCTGATCCCTCAAATCCAGTACCAGGACAGAGCAGAGAGAAGCCACTTAACCACTAGTAGCCTGTGCTTCATCTCCACTGACCCTCCCTGTGGGGACATTTCTTGAGCCACCCACCACACAGGCAGCTTGAAGTGCAGGAAACAGAGGAGCATCCCTAGTTGTGCGCCAGCTGGGGTAGCCCCAACCTCCATCCTTGTTCCCTTCAAAAGCTGCTAGGTGGGGAGTTCCCTGTACCTCCTGAGTCTCCACACAGCCCTACCCCCCCCCCCCCCCGGTCCCCTCAGGACTGGCAGCCAGGAACGCACCTTGGAACCCTGAGAGGAGGAAGTTCTAGGCGCCCTGGCTGCCTCAGAGAACCTCAGGACCATACCTGAGGAAAGGGCAGCGTCTGCATGGGCAGTACAGCGGAAATGACCCTCCTCTTACCTGCTGAAGGAGTCCCCATGGTGGCCAGGACGAGGCAGCAGAAGGCAAGCAGCGCCCGCAGCACCCAGACCTGCCACATGGCTACTGTGTGCAGGGCAGAGAGGAGCCAGTAAGAGAGGGTTGGGGACCCAGTGCTGGGGAGCCCCGCCCTGCAATCCGCCCCAGGGGCGGACCGACTTGGGGGCCGCCTTGGGGGCTGAGCTGGGGGTGTGGAGCTGGTGGTTTTTGCTGAATCATTTGACCACCTCGCCATCTATCACGACAAAGTCAACTGCTTCCTTTAAATAAAAGTTTCCAGAAGTGATTACTCGCAGGCGGAGGAGAAAGAGAACTAGCAGTGAACAAATCTGTGATTTTTCATGCTGGAAACACAAGACAGAGACCTTGCGCTAAATGTTAGCAGGGATGTTCAGACGCAGAACCACTGGTTTCCTCCTTTAAACCATATATATTTCCTGACCAAGATTCAGTTCTCCCCAAAGTGTATACAACCTGGGGTGAGTGGGCTTCTACCCTGGGTAGGAAAACTGGTTATAGACCCAAGGTTTCCGCTGGGTGGTTTCTGCACTGGAGTTGGAGATGAGGCTGATATCTCCCCACCTTTGTCTCGAACTGGCAAAGGAGAAGGAAGGTCAGTTCCTGCCTGGCACTCTGGCAGTGCCCTCTCACCACTTCCCACAGGGTCAGCAAGGGGGCTCTGGAGCCGGGTGGCAGGGTTTGAGGTCAGTGGGGTGACCTGAGGTGAGGGACAGCCCCTTCATACCTCAGTTTCCCCTTCATTGGTTGTAGCAAGCATCTGAGTACTTCCTCCCTGTCAGCCCTCAGGCCTGGGGGAAAGGGAGCCATGTGGTCTTGGCTGCCGGTGGCTTCACCCCTCCAGGGCTGGGGTTGCCCCAGAAAGGAGGAAGGAGACCTGCGCCTCAAATTGGGTCAAGTGCTGTCTGGGCTGCTTGGACTTTCAGACTCAGTGGGACCTGCGCCATGCAGTGGAGGCTGTGCCGGTAGGGACCCTGCTGAACCTTCTCTGCATGGCTGTCTTCAAGCTGGGAGCTGGTGTTCTCTCAGCTTTGGATTAGGATTCAGACTATAACTTGTACCGTCAGCTCTCCTGCTTCTCAGGTCTTTGGATTTGGACTGGATGATACCACCTGCTCTCTTGGCCTGGACTTCTCAGCCTCCAGTATGTATGAGTCAGTTTCTTATGATAAATGTGGATTCCTTCTTCCCACCTCACCTCCCTCCTCCCACAAATACTGGGCTTGTTTTCTGGAGTAGCCTGACTCACACATTTGTGTGCACGTATCTGTGCCTGTAAATGTAAGTGTGTATAGTGTATGTGTCCATGGCTTGGTGCCTGACCATCCGTGTATGTGTCTGTGTGTGTTTCTGTGAGTGTTGGTGAAAGGCTTTGTGTGTGTGCGTGCATGTGTGATTGTGTTTCGTGCACTATTTCTATCCTACTCATGCCTGAGCTGCTGGGGGAATGCTTTACTCTTCTGGCCTCACTCATCCAGCCTTCCATGCTATGGCACCCACAGAGTGAGCCTCTCCTAGGTACAGGATGAAATGCAGATTCTCAGGCTCCAGACCTTCTGTATCAATCAGGCTGTGAGTGGGGTCCAGGAATCTGCTTCTACAACCCCCCCACCCCCAGAAGATTGTTGGCCTCTAAGGTTTGTGAAGCACTCATTGAACCCCCTTCCCCCCACCCTCTTTTCTCACTGCCTGCTTGGCATCTTTCTGGTCTTCACGGTGCTTCCACTGTTAGCCCTGATCATTTACCATCCACCAGAAGACCAACTTGCCCACTTCTGCTCATTAGACAGGGTTTTTACATGGGATCGCTAGCTCTGATGGGTCTGAATGACTTCCGAAGGGAGGTGGGCACAGCCAAGGCTCCCAGCGGATGCCGCCAGGCCCTACTCCCATCCCTCCCCAGTGGGTGCCACCAGGCCCCACTTCCCGCTGCTGGTCTGGTTTTGCCAGAATCTCTCAACAGGGCAACAGGGTTTCTGGGGAGCTTGCTTCTGCTCGTTCACGCAGTTAGGAGGTATTTTGGATGTAATCTGAGAAATTCTGAAATTTCATCTTGGCAGTGGCAAGTAGGAGCTCTTTACTGCCTCCCTCAGGGCAAAAGAGGGAGGTGCAGCTTAGGTATGATGGATCTGGGCAGCCCTGGGGCTTCCGACTCTCAGCTGCACTCCTTCTGGGGTCCAGATATTGGAGGTGGCCACACAGCTGTTTCAAGCTCAGTGAGTTTCACTGTGAAGGATACTTCACAGGCACAGACAGTGCTGCCGTGGGAGTTTCCTAGAAAGTCCTGCTTTCTGGGTTACTTGACTCTATGGAGAATCAGTTTTGTAATTTGAAAGGAAAATCCAGTGAAGTGTATCCCGTCTTTTTTTTGCAGCATAACAAATAACCACATATGTAGCAGATTAAAACCACATGTACTTATTATTATCCCACAGTGATTGTGAGTCAGGACTTGGCTTGATTGCTTCTTTGCTTTCAGGGCTCTGGATGGCCATCGGGTGTGGGCCAGGTGGGTGGTACCTCTGGACGGCTGGGTGCACTTTTGAGCCCAAGTGCTGTGGGAAGCCATGGTTCCCTGCCGAGAGATCCCAGCCAGGGTCCTTCCCAACGTGGTTGCTTGTTTCCTTAAAACCAGCAAGGGGGCCCTCCTTGGTGGTTTAGATGGCTAAAGCACAGCACTAAGAAAGCCACTTCAGCATGAGTTCCATCTGTGCCCTGGAGGTGACCCACATGGCACAGCAGACCTCTCCTGACCCGCTCACTTCTCCCCTCAGCTGTGTACTTCGTCAGTCGGTCTGTTCTGTTCCCTACTCTGTCTCTGGTGAATCCTCTCGCTGCCCCTACACCTCTGGCATGTATGCCAGTTCTGTAAACATAAATAAATAAATCTAAAAAAAAAAAAAAACCAGCAAGAGAGAGACAGCATGTCTAGAAAAATGGGCTACAGTCTCATGGAGGCATCACGGAGGAGCTCCCCATCACTTTGGCCTGTTCTATTGTTAAGGTCCAGGGGAAGGGACAGCACAGTCCTGCATCTCAGGGGCAGTGTTGTGGATGTTTGTGTCCTGCCTCACTCCGTGAGTAAAGTCCAGTGCAAATACTCTGTAACTCTTCATTAGGAAAAATAACCAGCTGGGGGCAATGAGCACCAGCAAGTGCAACTTCTCACTAGAAGAAACCAGAGAAATGGCTATTCCAGGCCAGGGCAGGAATAGCGGGAGAGTCTTGTCTTCCCAGATACCATCTAAGGCCACGGAGGTGGCCACTGGGATCGGGTCAAAAGAACATGGGTGCCAGCCTGAAGAGGGAATATTGGACTTCGTGGAAAATTCAGCACTGATAGGAATAGTAGCTGCAGGGGATCGGAACACACGAGGTATTTGTAAATGGTAAGTCGATTACCATTACTCTTATAACGATTATAGTCATAGTGATAGATGCTCAAAATTCTGCGAGGGCTGAAGGGATGGGAAGGCCCCTTATCAGGGTCCTTTGCCCCTGACCTGCCACGCAGTCCAGCAGCAGCCTGGAGTCACCTTTCCCCCTAGAGAGCCACTTCTGTGTTTTTATTTCTCTGAAGGTGCAGCTGAACAGCTGTCCTGCTACTGGTGTGAGGAGAATTTGTCCACGTGGTGGCGCTGTAAGCTAAGAAATGGGCACCACCAGCGGGGGCTCAGGGCTTGGGCTTCCTGCTGGGATAGCACTGGCAAGGCCCTCTCCCCTTTCTTGGACTTGCTCCAGTCCCCACATCTTCTTCGCTCCTGTGACAGTGAGAGGGACTTCAGCAGTCCTTAGTCCCCTCTGGGAAGTGTAGTTCTGTGCCTGAGAAAGCACTCTTTCACCGGCAGATCGGCCTGCAATTTAAGTTCCCAGTGAGTGGGAAGATACTGCCCTTCAGATCCTTCACACACACACACCCCTGAGAAGCTGGTGCTGGGGATCTGGCATCTGTAGCAGTGGGGCTCCCTACCCAGGGCTGTGGAGAGCTACAGAGCACTGTGTACAAGTGCGAACCAGGAAGTATCTGTTGTGATGTGCATTCTGCAGGTCAGGGACTCCTGTGGGGATGGCCCATCTCCACCAAGTCTGCAGTGGCAACGGGGAGACCCAAGGCTGGGGCCTGGCACTGTCCGAGCCTCCTCACCCCCTCATGTGGAGCTGGTGCTGGCTGTTGGCCCTGACCTTCATGCGCACATTGCTTCTGTGACATGGTCCTGAAAGTCACATACTGTCACATCCGTCGTAATCACAGAGCTATCCAGGTTCAAAGGATAGAGACACAGTAGACCCCATGCTGTGGGCCTCTTGGGACAGTAATCTGAGCAATTCCCAGAAGAGGCTGTGTCCAAAGGACAAGGAGGGAAAGGCTCAGGGCAGCACGGAGCCCAGTGTGGCGCTGGATGGGGATGCGGAGTCTGGGAGGGAAGGCATCTCTGACCTGTCTTCTCCTCTGACTAGACCCAGGTTTGATGCCCCAGATTCATGCGATCATACTTAGGGTGCACCTAGACAACCCAGGCTAGTGCCCTATCACTGCAAAGTCCTGTTTGCTCTGTAAAATGGCACTGGGTCTCTGAGGGTGGACTTTGGCCTCTTTGGGGGCCGTTAATGTCCTGGCATAGGATGTATCGGGAAGGAGAAGACTTTCTTTCACTGCTGTGAGCTCAGGGCTGGGCCTGTGATGGGGCACATCCCTCATACTCTGGAGGGTGGTGGGGGCAGAGGCCTCTGGAGTGTGCCCCAACAATGGACGCACTTCCTTTTCACCCCTTGGGAAAATCCTCTCACTGAGTCCCCCAGAACAGACCCTGAGACAGAGGTTGGGGTGCACACATCATATCTGGGAGGGGATTCCAGTGAGAGATAACTGACTACAGCCAGACCACACACTGACCTGTGCCCTACAGCATCAGCACAGGAAACCAGACCACAGGCTCTACAGCAACCGTCCCAACGGTCAGGCGTGGTCAGCAGCAGCAACGCAATAGCTGCTTCTCTAATTTTTCCCCGTGCCCAACTAAGTACCAACTATGGAAGAGAGCCAAATCTGCTCCCCTAG